ACATATTCATTACAAAACCAATGTAGAGTAAGCATATCATAGACGTTGGTAATAAACAAAACGTATGTAATTTTAATAAAAATGTAATATAGTAATTAAGATTTATGTAAACTGTTTAAAAAATATACTTTCCTGTACATGCTGAAAAAAAAATATTAAAAGTAAACCCGAATATTTAACTTATTATGTAGTTAAAAGTACGCACAAAAAAGGCATTCAGTTTAAAATCATTTATGTTAACTTCGCTCTTGATCGTGTATTTTCGGCAAATACTTCGGAAGGCTAAATGATCTCACTTCCCGTCACCCACTGGGGCTGAAACTTAAGACAGAGACTTGGTGCAGATGACAACACGTCTATCAAATTGTCATCCTCAATTACCCAAAAATAACATGTTTCTGTGCTCCAGGTGTTTCTGGGTGCGTAATTTTGATGTGGAGATAAACTGTGCAGCTGTTGCTATGTGCTTTGTATTTGTCACATGTTTGGGTTTAAGTATATCTTTAGTCTACAAGATTTTACATGCACAAAATTTCATCAAAACCATTCCCATACCAACATTCAGTTGTTACAATCACACGAATAGTAAACCACGTACAATTTCGTCAATGCAAACTAAAATGAATATAAAGGATTTATACGTGAAACATGGTTTTAGGTGTTGTTTAATTAAATAATACTCTTATTCTTATTGGCTCTTGTAAAAATTGTGCACATTATTCTTGCATGATAACACTTGATATAAATGAAATTGTATGATAGATTTTGTAGACAGGGTGAGATGTGTTGTAATATATATATATATATATATATATATATATATATATATACATATATATGTACAACTTTTTCTCACAATATTCATCTGTTGAAAAAAAATTATTGTGTAATGTTTTATTGCAACGGGAGGAACGTAATAAAATCATTAATTGTTGCCGTTAATAGATATGAGATGTGAGAGGCAGCCATAACCTTGCAGATGATTTCAACTACGCGGCCCTGAGAAAGCCACACCTAGGCGATTGTTTCGTCCCTGATTACGTCCCGACCGGACGCCTTCCTGGATGGTGGGGGGGGGGGGGTAACGCAATACCTTTCTCCGGAGAGGAAGTAGAGCCGTTGAGACCCAAGGAGAGTGGACCAAGAACGCTTTAAACGCAGCGTTTTCAGTCGACTTCGGGCACCGTCTGGCGGCTGGGAGACCCGTGTTGGACCATATGGGAGTGTGCTTTGGGGGTGGGGGGAGGGTATTAAAAGCTCGCGCTCGACGACCTACGGACACCATCTGCAATGCGACGTTATTTGTAATTCAGAAACCAGTATGAAAATGTTTCGGGCTTTGCGCTATGAAATTATATAGGCCTTTTTCTTGCAACGTGACATGACGTGATGTTACTGGTGGAGAGGTGGACGCATGCTTGAACATACTGTCTGACATATGTGGTTGTGCTACAAGTACTTGGAGGTGTTCAAATAAGTCTGATGTTTGTGGTTTTGTTACAAGTACTTGAAGGTGTTTAAATCAGTCAGATTTGGGTAGTTGTGTTACAAGTATTTGAATGTGTTCAAATCAGTCTGACGTATGTGGTTGTGTTACAAGTACTTGAAGGTGTTCAAATCAGTCTGATATATGTGGTTGTGTTACAAGTACTTGAAGGTGTTCAAATCAGTCTGATATATGTTGTTGTGTTACAAGTACTTGAAGGTGTTCAAATCAGTCTGATATATGTGGTTGTGCTACAAGTACTTGAAGGTGTTTAAATCAGTCTGACGTATGTGGTTGTCTTACAAGTACTTGAAGGTGTTCAAATCAGTCGGATATATGTTGTTGTGTTACAAGTACTTGAAGGTGTTCAAATCAATCTGATGCATGTGGCTGTGCTCTAGGTATTTGAAGTTCAAGTAAGCAAAAGATGAATCGATCTAATACATGTTTTATACTGCTGGATAATAATATTGTGAATGTATCTTAAAATTAATATAAAATTTAAAGCTTTGTCGTTTATAACAAAGCGTTGAGTTGTTATTCTGAACAAGGCATATCACGTGACTTATTGGAGTGCTTCCCTGGAGGATATGAAGGCCCAACGGTTCTTAGAAACCATTAAATGATTGCTCCGCCTTCCCCCCCCCCCAGTCAATGAATACGTTCTTTACAAAGCTACCAGCAGGTAGCAGGAGGTAGCAGCTTGGTTCCTGTCTTTTCAAAACTCAAAATATTCAGCAAGGGGTTCATGCTGCTCTATTCAAAGCTTTCTTCTCAGTTCTCTTTTTGTTTGACGGTGGAGTCTTTCAGCCGTTGTTTCCGCTGTTTTGTTTCGTCTTTCATGTCATGTTTTCCCCCATATCGCCTCTTATAGAAAAATACCTAAATATATAACAACTATTCTTGGTGAGGAGGAAAACAATGAGAAGGAATCGTGACAATGGAATTCACAAATAGATATTTCAAATTTCAACGGTTTAGGCATCGTCCATGAAGCTATGCGATCAGTCGTCTTTACGAAATGGCTGATGGACAAAATATGCAACGCGTTACAATTTATCCTTTAATGGGTTTTTCTTTTTTAATGCAAACTCCCACTCTCCCCCGGGTCGCACCAGGTAAATACTATCACACAGTCTGTACGGATACTCGGACCATGTCTCGTATTTATGGCTCATAGGAACCGAGTGAGATTTTAAACTTCCTTTTAAGTCTTTTGTATATTTTCTATCATGAGATTATGAATTTTATATGTGATGATGACAATATATAATCTACCACCACCAAAGAAATTTTAACTTAATTCATGTAGTATGTCCCTTCAAGGACACATTACCAGCACCATAATCGCCAAATATGAATAACAGACTGTGGGTTTTGTCAGTTCTTCAGATTATCGATTCAGGTAATGAGTGTTTAGCACGTTAGTAAAATGTACCCCAAAAAAAATTAATGAATATTTGCGGATGTGTATTTCATTTGTTTTTCAGTGTATTGAACAAAAGTACACCTCTTTTAACCATCTATCCATCACTGTGTAAGAAATGCCGACTTGGGGGGGGGGGAGGGGGTGGGGTTCAGATTTGTTTTGCTCCATCATTTTCTTCCATTCAGAGGGATTTGATAGTTATCTTTTTACACCTCTTTTAACCATCTATCCATCACTGTGTAAGAAATGCCGACTTGGGGGGGGGGGAGGGGGTGGGGTTCAGATTTGTCTTGCTCCATCATTTTCTTCCATTCAGAGTGATATGATAGTTATCTTTTACACGCTTTAATCAAAAGCTGATACGTCATCATCATCCTAAAATAAAAACATAGGCCCGCCTGTAGACGCTTATTCCAGAGATACCTAGGCCAGTCTGAAGTAGCTTAAACCTGAGATTCCTATGCCTGTCTTTAGTCGCTTAGACCAGAGATACCTAGGCCTGCATGAAGTCGTTTGAACAGGAAATACCTAGGCCTGCATGAAGTCGTTTGAGCAGGAAATACCTAGGCCTGCATGATGTCGTTTGAGCAGGAAATACCTAGGCCTGCATGAAGTCGTTTGATTAGGAAATACCTAGGCCTGCATGAAGCCGTTTGAGCAGGAAATACCTAGGCCTGCTTGAAGTCGTTTGAGCAGGAAATACCCAGGCATGAATGAAGTCGTTTGATTAGGAAATACCTAAGCCTGCATGAAGTCGTTTGAGCAGGAAATACCGAGGCCTGCATGAAGTCTTTTGAGCAGGAAATACCTAGGCCAGTCATTAGTCACTAAGACCAAAGATACTTAAACTGGAGATATCCTAGCCTGTCTATAATTAAATATAGTAGAGATATATGGGCCTGTCGGTAGTTACTTAAACCGAATGCGCCTTGGCCTGTCTGTAGTTATTTGAACCGGAGACATCTTGGCCTGTCTGTAGCTACTTTAACCGAATGCACTTTGGCCTGTCTGTAGTTATTTGAACCGGAGACATCTTGGCCTGTCTGTAGCTACTTTAACCGAATGCACTTTGGCCTGTCTGTAGTTATTTGAACCGGAGACATCTTGGCCTGTCTGTAGCTACTTAAGCCAAATGCACCTTGGCCTGTCTGTAGTTATTTGAACCGGAGACATCTTGGCCTGTCTGTAGCTACTTAAACTGGATGCACCTTGGCCAGTCTGTAGTTATTTGAACCGGAGACATCTTGGCCTGTCTGTAGCTACTTTAACCGAATGCACTTTGGCCTGTCTGTAGTTATTTGAACCGGAGACATCTTGGCCTGTCTGTAGCTACTTAAACTGGATGCACCTTGGCCAGTCTGTAGTTATTTGAACCGGAGACATCTTGGCCTGTCTGTAGCTACTTAAACCGGAGGTGCCTTGACCTTCCTGAAATCGTCTAGACCGGAGATTTTGGTGATAGTTCCCCTTCAACCGTCTGAAATGTGCCTTTTTTCTAGATGACCTGCCCGGAGAAGGCTACTATTTTCTTCAACTTCTGTTTACATTGTGGGATAATGTGAAAGTTCATAAACGTCTTGGATTATTCGTATTCTCTCGTCATCCCTTTTCATCTCGTATTATTCCACCCCTCTTACTTTTATCATACCATGGCATTTAATTTGGTTTTCTAAGGTCTCCTGACATCAGAAGTCGTATTGGCGTAAACAAATAAATTTTCTTTCCCCTTATTATTTAATTTCTTCCCTATGTTTTTGTTTAATCGTAAAAAAATTTCCCATTTCGCCTTGGTTCATTCTTAAACACATTATGTGTTTAAGCATATAGAGTAATAACCTTGAGAGTGGACCTTGTGTTGAAAAAAACACAAAACATCCAAATCAGTTGATGACAAAGAACTCTTTATCCTTCTCGGCTATGCAAACGATTAAAGTGTAACACTTACATAACTTTTACATATAATAAATGAGATATAACATTAAACAAATTACTGAAATTATGTTTCTTTTAAGGTATTTTTATTTGAAAAAACAAGGAATACCTTGATTTATAATGAACATTTTGATACAATAAGTATGTGTAAAGCATCAAACAACGAGTACATGTAAAGCACCTTACAATGAGTATGCATCAAGGAAAAAAAAAATTTTAGTGCCTTGTTTTCAACCAAAAAAAAGTTATAGATTAACATAAGGGGAGCTTATCCTTGAAGTTTCTAACTGACTTGGATCCGCTAATTTATTCGCGTAAACGTGTGACGTCGCTTGCCGATCGATTCTGTCTCTAGTAGGTGCTTTTTTTTCTGCTTTATGTGTCCGCGGCATAACCGTAGTCTGTGCTTGTTTTTCTGTTGCTCTGGTAGGCGGGATAACTGTAGTCTGTGCTTGGTTTTCGGTAGTTCTTGTAGGCGGAATAACCGTAGTCTTTTCCAGGTTTTCTTCAGTTCTGGTGGGCGGGATAACTGACGATGAAGGGCTGAATTCAGGATCCGTTACTTTAGGTCGCCTACATGTACAAATGGCAACCACTAATAGCGCTACTGTAAGCACAATGATGACAGAGCCCGAGACAGCCGCTACTATGATGAGAACTGACAATTCAACTGTCGTTGCTGAGGCTGTTTGGACCCCCGAGGGTTCCGTTGCACGTTCACAGCGTCTGTCATTAATTTGTGCCGGCGTGAAGTAAAATTGCCACGACGACCTCGGCGCGTAGTTACTGTAGCAAATCCCGATACACTGATAAGGACAAGACGTAGGGAGCGTAGAATGAAACTCAAAGAACCTCTCCGTCATGTCGCACTCCGGAGTCGCTTGTCGCGTGCACGTGAAGTTTGTTTGGTCGACGTGTTTACAGGAGAATACATTCCTATAGAGTGCATCTGTGTCGTTTCGATGCAAGCTCTTTACGGTAGAGTCAGCAATGGATGTGGCTGAAGTTGTATTGAAACAGAGATCAGTGTACCATCTGAAAGTATCAAGAAACATTAGTTTCCAAACGCATCGAATTTATATATTTTTTTTTTCAAATTAAATAAAACGAAAACTTTGATCCTTTAAAAATGTGGCATCTTTTATTGAATTAGTTTCTTTTTATTTCTTTTTTCTCAATTTATTTTTTGAAGAATAAAATAGATTTAACTTTAGATCAATTCAGTGATTCCCAAAGTCTATGGGTTCTACCACTGTTCTGTATAGTTTAGAAATAACCAATCAGATATGTTAAAACAATTTGGCATTCCAATATTTTATTTTAAAAAGAGAGTTAACCTTTTGGAAGTTTTTTTTTTTCAGTGATATAAAATTTTCAAAATGTCAAAAATGAAAAATTATTTGACAGAAAAGCACTAATTTATCAAGTTGCCAGCCACCGATATGATAGTTTCCAGAGCAATTATAATTTTCCTTTGTATGACATATACAAACAAAGTAACGTGTAACAATTTTGTAACATGTCGAAAATGTGTGACTTGAACTGAAATGATTAAATAGTTCTGTCGAGTTTTTTTCTCATTTCAGAAACAACAAAAATTGTATAAAAATGTGTTTAATAGAAAATATTGTCCATGCCTTATTGTTTCATAATAATATATTTTGTGTGTTTAGACGAACCGTTACATTTATAACAAACATAACTGATTTTCTCTTGAGGAAAGAACACGCATGCTATAATTTCTATTTTTTGACTATCATACCTTAGCATACTCATATCATTTTTAAGATTATTTTTCTTTTCTCTATCATTGTTTAGGCTTTATTTAAAAACAAATACATAATGTATTTTTTTAAAAAGAACATTTGAAGCCAATATGCCAACTTTAGTTTGTAAGCTACAAGTGAGTTAGGAAATGTATCACGTCAAGTCAAATTAAGAATAGGATACGACGGAGTACTATTAAGGGTGTACACATGAACAACAAACTGTTGCACATTCTTTTTCAGAATTCTTAATAAATTACCATGTAAGGTCCCTGAGTGCGCCCAGAGTCTAAACTTCGTCTATCAGTTAAACTTCCCGTCACTCATAAAAAAGATGATTTATTGTTATTATTAATGACAGTGTTCTTATATAGCGAGGTACTCAATCCTATGGCTAGGCCCACTGTGCCTGACATAAAAATTTGTAAAAATATTACCTCTTTTAGAATCTTTTTAAAGTAATTCCTAACCCATTAAAAAAGGAACCATTGTAATGGTCTAACTATGGTAATAGTCTCACTGCGGTAATGGTCTAACCATAGGCTCGTAAGATATACACGACTGCTGACTCGAAAATTTAAATAAAATAATAAGGGCGTTAACTAAACTTAACCTACTTTTTAACGGTCTCATTGGATAAGCTCATTGAATACGTCATGTTGTCGGGTGTAAGCTGGAAAAAAAAAGGGTAATTGTCTCCAGCCGTGAAAGCTGATATTACAGCTAGATAGAAAATCATAGCTCCAAGATGATTGGGCCCCATCTGTTTCTTTTCTCTTGAAACTCCCTGGTTTTTGATGAAATAATATTTCTTTAAATGAACAACACGATTCATATTTTAGTAGTCGCAATACTTGTCAATCGACAAAAAAAAAAAAAGAAAATGTAAGTTACGTTTTTACTAAATAACTGAAACTTGTCTTTTTTTAAATATGTTAATTTTTTTTTAATATTTAAAAAAAAAAAAAATAATATTTGTCAATCGAAAAAAAAAAAAAAAGAAAATGTAAGTTACGTTTTTACTAAATAACTGAAACTTGTCTTTTTTTAAATATGTTAATTTTTTTTTAATATTTAAAAAAAAAAAAAAATTTACGTAGCTGTGTTAATGCCAAAAAGAAATAACTATTCAAGATCTTCTGTCGCATTGAATCATTTAAGATCTTTAAAACCTAGTTGTAATGTTTGAATGCCGCAAATCTCCGTTGATCGTAATTTTGATATTTTAGAACATGCTCAGATGATCAAAGTCGCGGGCTAACAAAGACGGACCACTCATAGCTTTGCAGTAGTGATAGATTACAAAATGGATCTCAAAAACTAAAGCTAATTTCGAGGACACGTTTATTCTGTTTTATCTTTTACAATTTAAAAAGCACACATTAGCGTAACACATGTGTCAATTGTTATTTAAATTCAACAAATAAAAGAATATTAATATTTAGTTGTTATTTAAAAAAACAATATATGCACAAATAATATATGCTACTTTTTTCAATTAGTTATCAAACATTCAACAACGAAAAAGTAAACTTACTTTATTGTAGGTCAAGTCAAAAGTTTCAGTTCATCAGTAGAATGTGTTATTAACAATCGTGGACGGGCAAACTATTTATATGTTCAAAAGAGGAAAAATTGCCATAGTTACTTGGGAATTTTTTAGGCATTCCCAGCAAATGATAACGCCAGTCTTTTTTGTGACGAGATCTTCCATAGCTCTGACAGCAAGCAACGTGGAGGCGGGAACACGATACCGACACAGTTGACTGACTTATTCGTGTAGTTTAACAAAAAAATGTGTTTGAAATCTTCAAAAAGGGTGGGGGGGGGGATTATGTTTTGAATATAAAATAAATGAGAAATAAATATGCTCATTTCGTTTTTAAATAATTTCTCAACGCTTTGTTTCGTAGATAAGTTTGTCATTTTCACACCTTTATCATGTTATTAATATTTTTTTTGTTTCCTTTTAAGTTCAAGCTTTTTCGTTCGTGGGTCATATTCCATTCACAATATCTCTCCACGCCGTCCGGTCTTCTGCTACGCACTCCAACACTGTTCATTGGATCCTTCTCTACCCCGCTCTCTCGTTACACATCAGTGTTTCCTTAACAGAAGTGGTTATCGGTTTTCTTTCGGTAATACCTATCCACATCCACATGGCCAATCCATCTCCACCTGACCGATCCATCTCCACCTGACCTATCCTTCTCCACCTGACCTATCCATCTCCAACTGACCGATCCACATCCACCTGACCTATCTATCTCCACCTGACCTATCCATCTCAATCTGACCTATCAATCTCCACCTGACCTATCCATCTCCACCTGGCATATCCATCTCCACCTGACCTATCCATCTCCACCTGACCTATCCATCTCCACCTGACCTATCCATCTCCACCTGGCCTATCCACATCCACCTGACGTAATCATCTCCACCACTTACACATACACTTGATTATTTATATTCAAATACCGAAGGGTACTGAACTCATAAATATCCATCCCTCTGGGGCCAGGGGGCCCCATTTCATTTTTCCTAATATAAGCTATATAATATCAATAGGCATAGGCAAAGCTATAGTTTCTATGTGAATTGGTGGATTATAGGCCTAGACTGGTAGTAATACACTTTATTTTCCGTTTTGAAATAACAGTGGATTTGAAACTAATACTATCCTATCTAGAATTTTCGATGGAATACCGACGGAATTGGGATCACACCGGAATTACGCTCCAGAGGGATCGGAATCACACTGGGATCTGGTGTACTAACGGCAGTGGGATACCGACGGAATTGGGATCATACCGAAATTACGCTCCAGAGGGATCGGAATTCCACTGGGAACTGGTGTACTAACGGCAGTGGGATACCGACGGAATTGGGATCATACCGGAATTACGCCCCAGAGGGATCGGAATCCCACTGGGAACTGGTATACTAACGGCAGTTGGATACCGACGGAATTGGGATCATACCGGAATTACGCTCCAGAGGGATCGGAATCCCACTGGGATCTGGTGTACTAACGGCAGTGGGATACCGACGGAAATGGGAGTTGGGAGCCCACAGGGATCGGAATAATTATAAGGCCCTAAACTGTAGAAGTTCATTGGTTCCCAATCCTATCCCTGCTAATGCCCGGTATATCCGCTATTTATTTTTTTTTTAAAATGACTGACATTTTTTTTTTAAAATTTGTAGCCTCATGATGTCAAAGATCTTTTCTCAGCATTCGTGCATATTCTAGATAAAACAAATGTATATGCCCTTTAAAGTATTTTTTTTTAAAATGTTGTTCGTCACACCATGACCACTTTAATCATCAGAGTTTGTGCCCGTCTGTCTGTAGAAGACCTACTATACAAACTAAAAGACCTACAATACAACTATAATAACTGAAAGGTCTACATTACCAACAGGAAGGTTTATGTTACTAACTGGAAGGCCTACATTCCAACGAGAAGGCCTACATTCCAACGAGAAGGCCCACATTACAACGAGAAGGTTTACATTCCAAATAGAAGGCCTACATTCCAACGAGAAGGCCTACATTCCAACGAGAAGGCCTACATTCCAAGGAGAAGGCCTACATTCCAACGAGAAGGCCTACATTCCAACGAGAAAGCCTACATTACCAATTAGGAGGTCCATATTTGCATAAAAATCGTTATAACTAATACAGAGTAACCGTTAACTGGATGGTGCCTTAAGATATCATTCTGGTCTCAGACATATATAACTAAATATTTGTTTACACAAAATATATGTTACGCTCATTATATCAATTATGCATATAAAAAAAACAATCTCAATACATATGTATTTACCTGTAATACTTTAAAAAAGAATCACACATTGCATATGTGAGCTCGTTTACAGGTGAGGTCATTCCTCCCCCGTCACCAACATCCCCGTTTATTTACATGCTATTAAGAATATAACAAATACAATGACATTGTTGACATTCACAGTAATAAGAGACTTTGTACCTATGATTAACATAAACGTTCTAAAAGTACATTTTCGATGTTGCCGTTAATTATGCTAGCCTTACAAGCAGCTAGTTAGTTAGTTAACTGTTACAATAACATCTGTTGTTTGACAGCTGTAAGAAAACTACCCCCTCCCCCCCTTCCCCCCCCCCCAACCCATGAACTAGACTTGTAAACCGAGCAGAAAGCAACAATAACATCTGTTGTTTGACAGCCGTAAGAAAACTACCCCCTCCCCCCCTTCCCCCCCCCCCAACCCATGAACTAGACTTGTAAACCGAGCAGAAAGCAACAGTCCTAAGGACTAGAAAAACCTGGAGAAAATAAAAAAGCATGACCCCGATAATTTGGAAGACACCTGTTGTTGGCCTGGGCGACACAGCGTCTGCTCAATCCAAACATATCTGTAGGTTTTATGTTACAGTTGCTGGAATGAATTTGTAACGTAAAATGAATGGACTGAATGAGGGGTTGCTTATTTTTCTTTTCTTTTTTTTTCAAACAGTTGTGTTAAATGATAAGAATGCAACTATTCTTAGCGACTTGGAAAACCCGAAAAAAAAAACTATCGCATCGTCGACATTTGGAAGACAGCTGGGAAGGTTTTGAATGTCCCAGCTGTATTTTGTGGAATGGACTTCCCGGCTGTAAGTTGTGGGATGGACTTCTCGGCCGTAGGTTTTGGATGTACTTCACGGCTGTATTTTGTGGGATGGACTTCCCAGCTGTATGTTTCAGGATGGACTTCCCAGATGTACGTTGGGGGACGTACTTTAAGCGGTAATTTCTGTAATGTAGTGGAGTCCTGTGTGATGTAGACGTGTGGTTAGTTAGGTGGATGTATAGCACAGGGCGGGCTCCTCGGAAACAGGTCTGGGGCATCATCTTAAAATGGTAGTTTCTTGCAAAACAGTAACCATGCTATCTGACAACACTGCAATTAGAGTATATGGAAATACGACAACCTGGCTATATGGCAATACTGCAACCAGTTTATATGGCAATACTGGCAAGCTGAAATTCATCACCAATTTTACACTGCCTAGGAGTAAAGCACTAAGCGTTCTTGCGCCCGCGCCCCAACTTGTGCAAGCCAATTTCTTCACCAGATTGAGCTTGGCGATTGACGGAGAACAGAGGTCTTGTACAATGATAACAGGAACTGACACACCATCCGGTGGTGTTGCTGATGTCGTGACGTCCGCGACTGCGCTCGGGATGGGGTCGTGACGTCAAGGGATGTTGTTATTTTTTCTTTGAGAGTTTTACCATTGGTTTTATTTGATGTTTAAATGAAGGAAAAAATTCCCCCCTGTAGTCATGAGGTAAGTGTTATTGCAAATCCCTATGCACGTGTAGGGACATGATGTGTTGACCGTTGTGTAAAACTCGTAGAATCTCTCTGTTGCGTTACAGGTCTGTTGTAGCACTTGTGTGCATTTGAAGGATGTTTGACTGAGGTGTTCACACGAAAATATATACATGTACGGATTTAAAGAAGTGCCATACATTATATTTGTAGACGTTTCTTGTCCAAAATTGTCGAATCTGATAATGAGACTATCGTTCCATCTGCAATATTGCAAGTGTATTCATTACTAAAACTTTTTTTAAAAATCAATTTTTAAGTTAAATTAAATACGTAATTTTAAATTAAACAAAAACAATAAATATTATACCTTTTACTATATTCTTGATCAGCTCTGTTGTTCTGTACATTGACGTTTCTAAAATTTTAGATAACTAATTGTTATCTTGCGAAAAAAAAAAAGGTATAGATTATGTATTGGTAGCAAAAGAAAATAAGACTATTCTATATACTTAAACCTAAATGATATGTGAAATTTTGGAATAAATAATAATAATAATAATAATAAAGTTCATTTCAAAAACACGCTTCATCCCCAAAGGCTCGAAGCGCGGTACAAAGTCAACAAAAAACAAATCTATAGTTTACCACATTTAAAACAAACGCAACACGACAAAAATCAAGCATACAATGGCAAAGTCTTTCTAGCCATTTCAACCATAAGCAACACAGCCATTATGCATTAACTGGAAAATAATGTTGACAATCATCCCAGAAGGTGTTTGCGAAATAGATGTGTCTTTAAATCGGTTTTAAAGGACTCCAGTGTCTGGTTGTTTCTGAGATCGACAGGAAGGGCATTCCAAATTAGTTATAGATGTTACTACTGATAATAATAAAACACAATACTGTATATTGCTCAAAAAACTTTTAAAAGTTCACTCGGTCAAAAAAATACTAAAATAATCCTTCAAAGATTTTTACAGACTTATCTAGATGGTGTGTCAAGTGTCCAATGATATTGGATTGAAACTCACTTGGTAGCGTACTCTTTGGTTAAGGTTATTGAGTATGTCATGTTGGCATTTGTTGGAAGTTTGAAGGACAGGATGAAACCATATTCTCCAGCTTGAAGAGTTATATGGCAGATGCACAGAAAACCGCTCCTAGTAGAAGAAACGACCCATCGGTACCTAAATGGCTTGATATTTACCTGATAGGCTGAAAAATAAATAAGACAACGTGATTAACAGGTTTTTGGTTGGTACTTCACGAGAGGAAGCAAAAAAAAAAAAGAAAAAGAAAATGGTATCGTTTAAATTAAATACTATTATTTTATTAAGAAAAACAAAGTAACAGCAACACTAAACACATCGGTAAAAAAAAAATCCCTAATATAAGTTTGTTAACTAAAACTATAACTTTAAAGACTGTTACCAGGCACCCATTATCGCTGAATTGTCAATATTGTACTACGCTTAATTTAATGCGCTAAGAGTAACAGC